AAATATCATATACATTTTATAAATAGTTTTGTCCTTATGCACAGTATCCATGCTTACATCTGAATAATGTTCCTCGCCCCATTCCCACCCCAACAGCAGGAAAAAAACCCCCACGCATCAGGACCAGTCCACGTAGCATCATCCGTGTAGCAAACTCCCGGGCTGCTGAAGCAGGGTTACCGTTCGAAAGGCTTTTTCTTGGCAGGTAACCATCCCGAGCTCAGCAGCAGCATCTGCAGCACTTCCGTGGTCTTTTGTTTTCTTTCCTTCTCTTCATTTTTAGTTTATTTTTCGCGCCCCCTCCCACCCGGTGATCAGGTTTGCTCGCCCGCTTGTTCCTTTAAGCAACCGTAACATTGAATATTAGGCCTCTCTTGTAGCAACCGGGTAAAGAAAGTGAATGAAAATGGCAGATTATATGTAGGGTTCCCTCCCTTCACCTACCCCCAGCCCCATAAATAACCCAGGTTCAATATACGCTTGAAACAAGGAGGAACAGCAGTGTCTCAATTCAATGTAAGTGCTTTCCTATGTCATCTACGCTTACAGGAATGATGGAATGACTATTAATATAGTGCTCTGGGAAAAAGCTTGGGAGCCCAAGTATGTACACTGACGGGGCAGCTGCAGGAAACATCACCTGTAGTGGAAGAGGTCTCTGTACATCGCGGGTATTTTGGCAGGGTCCACAGGCCTGGGTAAAAAATGAGTGAATTTCTGATGTCTCTTAGTCCTGTACCCCTCCCGGGGGGAGCCGTCCTTGTTCAGAGCCACGTAGTAATGCCTCTCCGAGTCGGGATGCTTGTAGAGGGTCGAGGCGTACGTGTTGTACCAGTTCTCTTCAAACTGCTCTCGGAAAACGCACTCCCGTGTGAGCTTCTTCTGCGTTGGGGCAGAGGTGGGAGGGGAAGAAAAAGACATTTGTGTCAAAAATTGGAAAAAAATAAAAAATCTTTTCTTCCTTCATTTTCCTATAATTTCCTCAGCTACCTTCTCCTGGCTCCCCTGAGGATGGGGACTGCGCTGCCGGGGATGTTTCCCCTGGGTGAGAGCTGGAAACGGGCACAAGCCCTACAAGCCAGGACCCAAAGAGCTCCAACTTCAGAGGAGGAAGGAGACAAAAGGAGGAGGAGAAGGTGGGTGTGCATTTTGCAAAGATGCCCCATGGAAAAAAAAAAACAACCAAACCCCAAACCCAAAACAGGGCCATAGCGAAACTGTAAACCCGACAGCCAGGTCTCTGCGCTCGGGGTGTGAGTTTTGAGCTCGCTGGGGTGGCCGTGGCCTGTGCAGAGGGCTGCTCGCCCCCCGCCACGTCCCCCCGCAGCAGCCCCCAGGTAGGTGAGAGGCAACCCCGGGAGGAGAAGCGGGCAGCACGTCTGAAGGGTTTAAACAGCAGCGAGCACCGCTTTGAAAGTTCAAGGCACCTAACAGTATACACTACGATGCGAATGAAAGCATTCCTCAGGCCTTTCATCTTCTGAAGCGCCAGATAGCTGTGATGTGAGGCCATAACAAGACCCGGGGAGGTCTGGCTGGGGAGCGGTGCTCCGGGGATGTCTAACCCCAGGGAGGATTTATGGCGGCGATAGGTGATGCGATGAGCGTGTGCCAGCCCACGGCCGGTGCGTCCCGCGCCGGGCCAGGAGGACGTACGGCACTGGTGTCACCGCGGCCGTGACCGGCCGTTCCCTTCAACCCTTACGAACTCTTGCAGCCGTTCGATGATGGCTTTTCAGCTCATGCCCATCGCTCCTTCCCTCTCCCTCCCATCTCCCCCGTGCCAGCTATGGGGACGTGCCCCCCCCCCCCGCAGTGAGGGTTGGGGCCCTGCCCCCCCCCCCCCGCAGTGAGGAGCGGGGCTGTCCCCTGCCCCACGAGGACACGGGTGGCTTTGCCAGCGCCACCGCGCTGTGTCGCAGAGGGACCCACCATCCCGTCCCATCCCAGGGGGGCACTGCGGGGGGGACGTGGGAGTCCTTTCAGATGAAAGGCAGTCTGCAAACGTAGGATGCTATAATAGTACAAACACCGGACCTACACCGTAAACTATTTGGGTAGGGATGTCGCTTATCTACGGCATACAGAGTGCTAAGTAAATGTTATTGCCTGCAGTAGATGTTTTGTAATACGATCCAGGAGCTCACCTGCGCTCAGAACCTGTTTTGAATGTTTTGCTGCTAATTAAATAAACCCCGAGGTGAGCTGTGAGCCCTCCAAAAGCCAACGCCACAGCCCTTGCCATCTGAGACCCGGGGAACCGGGAACCGTGGCTTTCTCTTCCCAGATCTGTCAATAAATAAACTTTTTTTTCTTCTTCCCTTTTTTTTTTTCCTTCCCTAGGATGCCATCCGCTCAGAATACGTTGGAAACTGCTGACCGGCTGAACTCGTGCACTGCTGCTTTGCCCCAGTTTACCTGTTCTTCGCTGGGCTGTTTGGAGGTACACTGTTGGGGTAAAATGTTTGGGGTGACTCTGCAAGGTGCCATTTATTTCTTTCCAAGCCCCGGGACGTCCCCACGGAGCCTGACACCATACAAGCAGCGTGCAAGGTGCTGCCTGTGACTTTTGCCGCTCTAAGCATCAGTTGTGTTTCTGAAATCGGTGGGAAGCTTAGCAGAAACGTTGGCGCAAGGTTAAGAGGGCCAGGCAGAAAAGCTGCCTGTCCCGAGGGGACTCCACGTGTCGCTGCGGGGATGGCTGGCTGTATCGACACACAGATCAAAACTGGCACAGAGGGAAATGATAAACTTGCTGAAAATTTAAAAATACCGCTGTACTGTAATCTCCTAAAATACCATTGTAATGCTAATGCTGTTGTTAGGCGCTGTTTTATGGACCTTTAATTAAGAATCCTGTAGTGGCTTTCAATTTCGAAAAGCCATCATTGTACAACCCACGTATCCCAGATTTTAAAATTCCAGGGTTATTTGGGGACCTGGCTCGTGACTTTTGCACAGTTCAGATCAGCGGTTTGCCTGCGTCCCCGCAGTCCGGTCAGTGCATTGTCTGACAAAATGCAACGACAGGGAGAAAACTCCCGTGATTACGTCTTCAGGTCAGTTCTGTTTCCAGAGGAAGTGTTGTAAAACGTTATCCTATTTTTGTTTCTGTGTCATAACATGAACACAGGCCCTGGAATTTAATTAACCCATCATGAAAGTGTTGATTTATAATCCAGTTTGGAAGCACAGAAGGGAATATGCAGGCTTGTGTCCTCCTTTTTAGCAGGCAAAAGTAAAAGCTGCGACTCCAGGAGCTGCTGAGCAGCCTCGGGGTCTGACGGGAGGCTCCAGCCCTTCTTTCTGACATGTGCTTTAAGATATTTTTTTTTTGTGTTTTACAGAATCCTGGTGATTTGACTTTTTATCTGTCTTGCACGTTTGTAATTTAACCGCTGTCTCTGCTTTTAACTTTTGTTTAGGGTAGATGTTATTACAGAAATGAGGTGGAAAAAGAAGTTATTGGTGCATGCTAATCTTTGATTATCATCTCATGTAAACATCAGTAACTGCGTCTTAAATAGTGAAAGGGTCTGTGGCAGTTTCAGATGGGAATGGGAGAAGAAAGGATGATGGAAACTTGGGGTTTACTGTTATTGTTTGCTAAGGAAAGGTTCTCTGAAGGCTCCTCTATATGCAGAGTACATGAGTTTAAATTTCTACACTATGAGATTGATCTGATTTGGTTAGAGGAAGTATATGCCTTTCACTTTGGTTTAAAATGGGTTTATATTATTTCATTTTAAATTTACTGTGATCCATCCTTAAAAATCAGTATCCTCACACAGGGTAGTGCTGTGATCTAGAAAGAGGCATTTAAAAATTCACACACCGGTGATGGGTTGAAGTAAAGGCAATGGGGCATCTGAAGAAAAAGCACCAATGAAGTGCAGCAGCTACAGAAAAGAAAACTTAAAAATGGCTACCTAAAATGCAATTAACTTTTCAAGAGAGAAGTGGTTCTTCTAGCTAACTAGAAATAACTATTTTATATGGAGTTGAGTTAAATAATTAGGAATTGAGTTAAATTAACCTGCAGGAAGCACCTCTGCCCAGTTGTTAAGACGTGACATTTTGACTTCAAGTCTTAATGCTTAATTAAACAGAAAGAGGCAGAGGAGAGCTCGGCTCTCTTCAGGTTGATGGAGACTTTCCCAGTGATGCCAAAGCTGCACCCCTTCCCCGCAGTCCCGGCTGAGCTTTGCAGAAGCGTTCGCTCCGCGTGGTGTTTCGTCCAGCAAAAACCTGACGCACTCTTTTTTTTTTGGGGCTGGCTCATCAGAACACCTGCCCATGTTCAGAGTGGTCTACAGGGTGGTGCAGGTTCAGTAACGTCGGGCAGAAAAGCACCGACGTGGACCTGAGCTGGTCCCGGCTGCGGCAGCGCAACTCCAAGGGCATGGCCCAAACCAAGGGAGCAAACAACAAACTCACAAGTTGCCACTAGAAACCTGAGCCTGGATTGGAAACGGGGTGTCTTCTGCTTTCTCTGTCCTACGGCAGCACAGGATGAGGCAGAATCTGCTCTAGGTGATGACAGGAAGAGTTTATAGGTATTCAGGAGTTTGTGTGGAGTGAAAAACTAACAAGGAGTTTAGACACGGTCTTTGGTGAAGCACGGCAAATTGTCGTCTGAAAAGGGCACTTCTAGAAAATTATGAGCAACCCTCCTAAACTCCTAGAAGGAGTTGTAGAGAATGTTATAATAAAATAACACTCAGACCACAACTTCAGCTTCTGTTAGTTAAAGAGCCATAATATAAACATAAGATCTGCAGATAGGTGCAGATCCTGACCATGTAGAGAATAAAATTGATGTGTTAGCCAACGAAAACACACAAGCGGCCGCTGGTTTTATGCTAAAATTTCCCCTGCCTTTAGCTGACCGTTGCCACACCGTTTCTGAAAGGCAAAAGCTCGATAAACCCCCGCCAGCTCCCCAGGCACTGCCCCAAGCGGTATCCAGGAGCTGGGCACCACCATGGGCTCTCACCGCACGAGTGCATCCTCCCTCCGCAACCCTGTTTCGTATATGTATCATTTATGTTATAACAACAGCGTCATCACGGCTAGGATGGAGGTATGCGGAGGCGTGTGACAGACAGAGCTCGTGACACCGATGAGGCCCCGCAGCCTGTACTGCTGTGTGCGTTACATAGTGGTGTGATCGGCACAAAACCTTAAACTTACCGACCCATACAGCTCGCCTCTCTCATTCATGCCGAGGTAGAGTCCTGAGTCCACCCCACGGATGCTCACCAGCCCCACTGCCAGGCTAATAAACTCCAAAATTCCTAAAACAGAAAAGAAGTCCAAATCATACAGAGAATAAAACCAACACCAGGCTCCAGTGACGAACGCGAACCAGCCTTTCCCAGCCTTCGCAGAGCTTCCTACAGACCCCGTTTTCCTTATTTATAACACAGTTCTTAGATTTATAGTCCCACATGTGTGCAATCTTCTGATTTCCACTCTAGGCTTCTCCCCAGCATTGCAAATTTGACTTGCCCAAGAGGAATTACCTTTGCTAATGAGAAAAAAGTTTGCTAGGTTTTGTTGGTTTAGATTTTGTTAGTTTTTTTTTTTTTCCTAATTATCACCAAGAAGACAGATGTAGAAACTTGTGGCTGGCCCACTAGAAATTGCAGAAGGCTGTTACCATGCTGGGTTTTATTCTTCACCAAAAGAGAGTGATTTTTGTCACCATGGGGCTTCTGGTTTGAGGTGACAGTCCCACATGTTTTAAAGTGATGAGTTCAATAAAAATAAGTAAAAAGCACTAGAAGAAAGAGATGTCTGTGAGGGCCATCTTCATCCTGGCGCTCCAGTGGGGTACTTGCTGCCCCCAAACATATATACAAGCTGCAGGGATAAAATCCAGCTTCAAATATAGGCAGGCAGAAATGCATCTTCCTCTGCAGCCTTCGGAGCCGGGGCGCTGCCGGTCCTTCCTCCGTCACCCCTGTTACTGCCAGAAACCCCCTCCTGCCCCACATGTCCCGCTGCCTGCCCCGGCCTCGTGCCAGCCCCTTCCTGGTCCAGCAACATCTATCCTAGCCATCCCCAGCCCTGCGAGAGCAACTGTTTTACCCGTGGGCTTCAGCCGACACCGATGGTGTCAGATAGTTTAAATAATGAGGGGCAGCCTCATTTCCTCTGGCAAAGGAATTAGGGGGTCTGCCACGCTGCCTGCTGCACCCCCGCTGCCAGTTTAAGGGGGACGGCAGCTGTTTTGATGGAGGAAAGGCTTGTCGTAGGAGAACCCTTTGTGAAGCGCTTTTAAAAACAAACAGCCCCCAGGCAGGTGCGTTTTTAACTGGTTTGAACAAAGCCAACATCACAAGTGGTGGAGACCTTCAGACTTCACAGGAAAACCTCCTGGAGGCATCAGTGGGACTGCGTGAGACTCTGGATATCACCCGCTCCCTAGCTGGAGGGCATGGGCAGCCTTTGCCTGTGCCCAGTGCTGAATTAATTAGCTGGGAAGCAGCAGCAGCAGAAGGATGAGGGTTTTCACCATCCCATCTAATGACTGGACAAGATGTCTCCAGTGACAGGAGGACAAAGTTGCTCTAACCTTTAGCGTGGCTCCAGGTCTCTTAATATAGCTCCCAAAATGTCCAGTCCTGAGCAATTGCCGCTCTGATCAGGTTACGTCCCAGAGCTCCTCTTAAAAGTACGCCTCGAGTCTAAAATCGCAGCCTAATGAGTGGCCACCTGAGCCAGCTGACTCCAGGCAGTCGCAGCTCCCGGTCACCCCTCAGCTTCGGGCACGTGTCTTCTGCTCGGCCGGGCGTGGATGCGATAACTTTCAGCCAATAACTGCATCACCGCCTAAATATAGGACAGACCAGACGGCGATGGACGCCTCTGTCCCCCTTTGCTCACCGCAGCCTCATCAGTCAGATGCTGGCATCTAAGCTGGGTGCAAGAATTAGTCTTCCTACCTTATATCACAATTTTTCTCCTCCTTTTGCCCTGCCTACTCTGGGGTTTCTGCATCGCATCCAGCCCTCTCTGCGGCCAGTGGGTGCTGGGGGGAAGATGAAATACGGACTTGAGAGCCGCAATTCCTTGAGCTAAACGAGGAAGCAAATGACAGAAAACATGCTTTACGGACCAGTGCAGACATTTTCCAGGCTGAAATATGCCCAGCTACACGCCCCGGCCTGGGGACACATACTGCCTTCAAAAACGCCGGGAGCAGGCAGCGCAGGCAGGGAAGGCAGCCTTCCCAAGCCAGGCAGGCAAACCAGGACCCTGGCTCGGCTCTGCTCTGCTCACTCCCTGGTAGTTATTGTGGTTTATTTTCTGAAAAGAAGCACAGACGGGGAGGGAAGGGGCGCAGGATGACGGGTGGTCGTCTGCCTCCGCTACCCACCGGTTCTGTCACGTGGAGGGAGTTACTGAATGCTGTGTGCTTCCGTTTTCCCACCTGCAGGACAGAAATGATGACAGCCACTGTTTGAAAGGATGGGAGTGAAGGACGAGTAACAACAACTAGAGAGAGAGTAAAAAGTAATACAGAGGAAAGGAGTACAGGGATACCCAGAAATGGGGGAATCTTTCCCAGGCTGGAGACAAGTGGATGTCCAAGTGAGAAATATCTGATAACTAGAGAGCAGCAGATCGACCTTCCTGTAGGTACAAACACTATCCTCAGCACCAGCGTGTTGGGTTTTTTTTTAAATTGTCTTCTGTCACCCCGGGAAGCAGGAAAATGTTGCTGGTCCCATTTAGAAACCGAGGGATGTCCGAGGCAGGGAAACCAAGAGCTTTTCTTGAGTATACCCATCAGCGCGCTCTGTATGTGGCACGTGAACCCAGGTCTCCAAAGACCTGGTAAGGAGCAGCCCAGGAGCAGCATTAGCGTCTTCCCTCTCTGAGTGGGTGGGGGAGACACCCCTCATCTGGTGCAGGTTGGGTAAATATTTGCTGCTTTTGCAAACAAAATTTCTTCAAGGTGTGCCCGTGACAATCTCTTCTGACAACATCCCTTGCAATGTTCCCCTTTTCTGATCTTTAAGTGGCACTTAGAGATGTGCACAGAAGACGACTATGTTGAAACAGCATTAAGAACGTAACTTAAACCCACAAAAGTCAGGAGACAGAGTGAAGGCTGAAAAAATGTGGGCGGATATCCATCCTGTCCTTAACTCACTCCAATTGCTAGACAAAATTGCAGCTTCGTACATCTGATCTCCAGCAGCACAGGGAGCGGCCACTGGGGCCAGCTCAAGAATTTTCTTTCCAATGGTAGCGGTGTGTTTTTGTGGTAGAACATGCTTTTAAAAATTTATTTTATTTTTATTTTTTCTTTCCCCCAGGACTTGCCTTTTTTTTTTTTTTTTTTTTGTTCTTGCCTTGATTATTCCCTGTTTGTTCCTTGAGCCTTTCTAGATAATATTTGGAGAGATTTGATTAAGACTCTGATGGGATTCATTTACCACCAAAGCACTGAATAATCTCCCGAGCTTTGCCGTGGCCGGACCCGCACACTCTCGCCTTACTATAAACCATCCCTCAAAGAACAATTCAGCTCCTTGCACCTGTCTCTTCTTACATGACTATATTCAGGAGCAGGGGTACAGAAACATCAGATGTTGTATTAATGGCTACAAACCTAAAGCTTCGGCTAAAAACCTCAACAACTGTTCAGCAACAGGTGCACGATGGTCTGAATGTCAAAATCTACAGCAAAACTTTCTCTGGAGGTTTCATCAGCTTCTCTAGGAGACTGTGTTACAGATCCATGAGCAGGTTCGTACCCAGGAAGAGCTTCATTTGCTGCCTTTATTAGTCTGCAGCACAAACTCAAGGCCTTTTTCCCTCCTCGGTTGCAGTTAAGAGTAGCACCGTGTCACTTGTTTAACGCTGCTGTAAAACAGACGAGGCAGAAAAGGAGCGATTCCTCCTGGCAGGGATTTTCCTGGCAAATTTCTCTCTGGTTCATTCTCAGAAGGATTCTCAGAGGGGCGCTAATGTCAGTCCAAACCCACTCCAGATTTTGACCGTCCTTTATTTCTTTGTACAGGAAGGTTCTTAGCAGATGCAGTGAGAACAGATACATTTTTGAAAACACTTTATTCTTTCGGGGATGACTTAGGTGGAGCTGCCGGTTCAGAGAGCGAATTTGGGCGCTTCTGTAGTGTGAGAACAAGCTTTCTTCCAACAATCCTGGAGGGCTTCACCAAATTTTGTGTTAAGCCTCCTCTAGGAGAAATAAGCTGCACCCCATTGTTCTTGCATGAATCTGTATTTTTACAAGTATAAAATATCACATTCCAGGAGACAGGTGTGATTTAGGAACACTCCAGTCCTCGACAGATGAGAGGGAATAGTTACTGTGATTGCTCAGGCAGCGCGGATAGACGATGCTGCTACCTCCCCATGTCCTACGGGCACATCCCCGGAAAGCTGCGGTACAAAAGAATCCCTCCCTCAGCCCCCGCCGTTAGGAGTCTGGTACTCTGTTCCGCATCACCAGAGCTTTGGGTCTTTATTTTCTTCTCTGGAAGACTTGGATGTCTTGCACATCTGGTAACTTTTGGGATGGCTACGCATGGGAGGGTGCAGATACTGTCTGTCTCTTCCTGAACCCCTTCCGGTATTAAGAGATAGGGATGCAAAGTCCGGTTCCGCCCTACATCCCATCTGGATACGTGCCTCTGCTGCAGAGCACATTAATTCCATATCAGGGAGCACCTTCCAGCCACGTGGGCTGGATCCACCATACTGGATTTCTAAGTATTTCCCCAGATGCCCCTAGATTTAAGGCTGCTTTAAACCGCTACCCCGAAACCCTCATCTAGCTCTGTATCCCTCACCACAGTTTTGTAGTTCCCCAGAACTGCTCAGGCTGCCTATTTCTGTAACGAGTTACTGCTTTCTGACTGCTGCATGCAAAATTTAGGAATGCATTGATACATGACATCCTAATACGAACCATACCAGTAACACTGGAATTTAAATATTCATGGCTACTGAATGCAGATGGTGAACACTCTGTGCCAATACGTTATTGCTTTGAGTCTCTGCTGAAGGGAGGTTTAGTCCAACTTTATCTGAACACGAGGATTCCAGTCTAATCCTTTGGGGCTTTGTCTTGCAATTACAACAAATAACTATTTATTTTACACTGCCTCTGGGAAAACCCTGAAGCAGAAAACTATAATATTTTATATCTGAAGTCTGGTCTAGTTTACGTAGCTGGATGCTGACTGGTAAAACACTTAGGGAATGCCAATGTTTCGATTTATTGAAGGCACTGTGTGACTTAAGCTTAAGCGTGCAAAATTCATGAAAAGTTTTAGCCTGCTTAGCGCATTTTTCCAAAGTTTGTTTGGAAATACACTTATTTTACTCAATCTTTATAAAAAAATGGAACTGAGACAAATGTTGCCATTGGAAACTGACTGTTTACTTGTATAAAGATAAGCAAAAAGAACTGATAGAAATACTACGTGGCAGATTGAACTAAAACCAAACAGATGCAATGGCTTTGCTTTCAGTTTCTTTTAATGCGGAAACCCATCACGTATTGCAGCATGAAAGGTTAAAAGATGTGTGTCTTTCAGGAGGTAATTAAAGAACGCTTGCCCCACGAGCCTATTAGTACCTGACTCTGACCCACGGGTTACGACTTTCTTGTAGATTTAGGCTGGGACATGCTACGCACACACCTGATGTTTATGGAAAGCGCAGTACAGAGATAAGTTTCTCCAATTGTTCCAAAAAACCTGCCTTACACTACCAACAATAGCGGCAGCGTTCCTGAAGTATCAGAAAGGACCAGTCACAAACAAGTAAAGGCAAAAAGAAGAATTCCTTTCACCGAGGAGTTAAATCACTTGAAAACTATAAAAAGTCTTGCGAGCGCTTCTTGCAACCTGTTGACAACATAGCTGAGATCACTGGCATGGGACTTGTTGATAGCTTACACAGACACCTGCACTAGATGCTGAAGTAGCGGGAATTTTTCTTAGCTGTGCTCAAACTTACTGTTACTTCTTCGCCTGTGGCTTGGGATGCATTTTTTGAAGATTACATATAGTCTCATTAGAGATCCCTGCTCTTGTGTGACACTGGTACAGGCGCTGCAGCCTTCTAGCTGTATCCCGGGCAGCAAGGTAAATCCACGGTGCTCTGCCTATTGTTCCATCTTCTCCTTTCTTTCTGGGGTCCCCTAAATGTTTTTCCCCCCTTCCGCTTCCCCCTTCCTTTCCAACAACCTCCCCAAACCAAGCTTCTGACACCCATCCAGCCAACTGATCCCTGCCCGCTTTGGGGAGACGCTTTTCTAATGAAATTCATGCAAGTAAAAGAAATCAGCTCACAAATAGCTGCGGAGGCCAAAAAAAGGAAGGAAAAAACCCAAACCCAACACAAACCCAAAAGCTAGGAATTTCTTTTTCCAACGTGGTCTCTCTTTTGCCTCCCTCACCGCTAACTTCAGAGGCACAGCTAGAACTAGTCAACCCCACACCTTTTTTTTTTTTTAAATTTATTTTAATTTTTTTACTCCTTCCCCCCCCCACTAAGGCACGTTTTTGTGCACCTGCACAAGGGCTGAGCACCGGGAGAGTAGGAAATTGGAAATAAAAACTCCCGCATTGCTGGGGAGTGAGCGCATTTGTTTAGGAGTCTAATTATATCCGTCCCAGGATGATT